TTTTTTTTTCGGTTTGTGAAGCTTCAGATACTTGTAGACTTCGTCAGGAGTGATTCCCTTCTGGGGAATCTTCTGTCCTATATCATCAGTGTAGATGAATATCGACTGGAACCTCACAAAGTTCTTACGCTGTTTCTCTTTTAACCCAACCGCCAACTTCGTCACAATGCCTCTCTCTTCTTCGCCCGATTTGAGTGTTTCGGATTGCTTTCGTTCCGCTCGGAGGGCTCGTGCAGCTTTCGCTTTTAGTTCAGCGGCATCAGTAGATCGGGTGGCCGAGATAGTATCGATGGCGAGGAAGGAGATCACGGTCACGAGCACGATAAAGCACCGACGCATGATTTAGATTCGTAATGGCGTTTGGTTTTGTGTAGTTTGGATGAAAATGCCAAGTGAATGTAACGAAAACTGTTTTGAATTAACTCCATGGAACGGTACAGCAAGCAATCGATTACTTACGAAATTGCAGGAGACTGTGGTTTACTAACATATACCATTGCAACTGTGAATGTGTGCAGAAACGTCGGACAGTAGCGACGCCCCATACAGTGTAGATGTACATACAGTTCATGAAGAAAGATTTTATAGCATCCATGCAGAGAAAAATCGGCATAGAGGCGGCGTCGGCTTTTTTTTTTTTAGCTATGAGTCACAGCCTGAGTCACCATACAAATCTCAAGGCCTTTGTGACCCGTCAGCGAAACATGTTTTAGGAGGTTAAGGGAAGACAAGTAACCTGCATAACCGTGTTAATTTGTGTTAAAGACTGTTTATGTGAAAACGTGTGATTGAATGCGCCATGTCAAATCGTGTTAATTTCGCGTTACTTGCTTCGGCTAGAGCGACGGGTCGGCTTCTTTCGTGCTGGCTCGGCACCTCATTTCTTTGGAGCCCGCACGGCTGGCTGCACGCACTCCGGTAGCTGCGTTGCTTGGTCCGCGCTCTACGTTGGCTGTTCCATGCTCTCGGAAGGCCGTGTGGCCTGCTCCTCGCTCTCCGACGGTGGCACGGGGGCTAAGTCGTCGTCGTCAATTTCCACACCAACATTGGCGGCTATTGCTTGCAGGAGGCCCTCTCGTCGCGCAAGCGTCTTCTCGATCTTCACGAGACGGCCCTCTTCCTCTTGATCTTGGCGGGGCTCTTCGGGCTGTACGCAGCGCCCGTAAACATCATACATCTCCTTATTCCAGGACGTACCGCTTTCCTGGAGATGATAACGTGGGTCCGGAAGCCAAGGCACGCAATAGCTGGTGCTATTAAAATAGCAGCAAAGGCAAAGGCAACGGGTAAGTACACTACGATGTGTTAATATCTTATTGACTAGCCCACTAACATTGTGTAATTTTATTACAGTCGAAACGGAGCACTTGAATTTTGATAGAGAGCGCTGGGCTAGCGAAGCTGAGCGAATTTCGTGTGCGTTCTCTATGATACTTCTACTACATTTTGTATTTTCTAAGTTTTCTTTATTTCGGCCACCAGCGCAGCAAGTAATTGATCGAGAGCGACTAACCACCGAACCAAACAGCGAACCGCTGCATACGGTGCGACAACACATTCACCTCGAGAGCCTCGGCATGAGCCTGCTGGTACTTCGAGTGCAAAG